GTAGGCTATAGCCTAAATACATAAATACTGTAATTATATTCCATTAGTCCTTTAATACATTGTCTACATTAATAATATAATACAATTCAATATGTATATCCCACATTTCATGGTGCAGTTGATATTACTAGGCTAACGTTACAGTAAAACCATGGTAAATGATGGAAATTTGTAGATGGAAAAGCTTTCTGACTGTATAGTTGCGCACAGTGTTTCTCCTGTTCGTCAGCGCTGTAACTGTTTCATCTGCCTTTAAACTGGTTTAAATCACTGAGACATTTGTGTTCTTCGCTGAATTCAAGTGCTTCTCAGTGGATCTCGTGATCGAGACTGATCAGAGTTAACCACAGTAAAAGAACGCGTCTGCTCTGCTCTAGTGAGCTTGATCGCGCTACGCTGCCGTTTGGACTTTGAGCCGAGTGGATAATAAGTCCGTGATTTCAAATGAGTTTCGTTCCGCTTTTGCCGCATAAACATGATCTAACATTTATCGAACTCTTGATATCGTTTTATAGAGAAAAAATTATATCGCGATAATGAATGAATGAGCATATCAATTTAAGACGTGGCTAAATGTAATTTATGACCTTGTATGGAAAAGCCAGACGTTTTTTATGACTTTTTATGGCCTAAAATTCTTATTATTAAATTTAAGACGTTTTATGACTTTTTATGACCCCGCGGAAACCCTGATATCCAGACCAGCTGGTCACTTTTATGCATTCATTAACCGGCGAAGTTGCATTTTTAAAGCTAGTGACGTGATTGCTTTCTCAATATTGATATGTTCATGTAGCCGACAGAAACAAACAAATCAGAAACGCATTCGATTCTATTCTTTTTTATCACTGCAGTGCAAAACATATTGTTATTTTGATTAGATAATCATCAAGTGTTCTAATATAGAAGCAACTAAAGTATACATGTAATATAGGCCTACATTTATGCAATTTTAATGCTCTGGCCTTTGCAGATATTTAAAGATGGCCATCTTTAAGCATAGCAGACTCTGGATTTATATGAAATGCTAACACTTTACAATAAGATTACATTTTTAGCATTAACTAAGGTTAATAAATGTTGTAGTATTGTTCATTGCTAGTTTGTTAATTCCAACATTTACTAATACATTTTAAATTGAGTTTTATTTTTTATTGTATCTGTTAACCTTAGTTAATGTACTGTGAACTAACATGAATGATCAAGGTACAATTCTCTTGCTCAAATATTAATACATGCAGTAAAAAAAATGTATATTGCATAATGCATATACTAGTTCATGAAGGCTAGCTAATACATCATTGTTAACAAATGTGTTGCAAATTGTTATCTATGAAATTTACGTATGTTATTAGGTTATAGCTCAAGAAACCTGTAATATTTTAAATGTTTAAATTATTTTCTCTAGAATTCGTTCTGTAGAACTTCTCATTTTAATATATTCATATTTATATATTTATGTCATATAGCACATTTCAGTTCAGCACTGTTTTACTTGGAGTGTTATGTTTTTTTTTTATATCCAGTATCCATTCAAAAAAATATCGGTTGATTAATCGGTTATCGGCACGTACGGTCAAACCTAAATATCGGTATCGGTAAAATCCACTATCGGTCGACCTCTAATTGTGACTGGTTTATCAAAGAATCCACAGAGAAATGTACCAAACAAACAAATAATGCACTATCAACATATTCACAAAAAAACACAAAAAAAACAACACTTTCCTATCATTAAGTCCCTTTGGAAGATAAAGTTATTTACTGATCATGTTGTGTTATTTCTCCTGCCTGTCCATATTCACTAACACACCAGTGGGCAGGTCAAAGAGGTAATGATGACGTCAATCATCATTGATCTGTGTGCAGGCCGTCTTTTGCCACTGTATTCATCTCTATCGAGTTTTGTGTTCTAAAACTTTCTGTATGTTTTTATAGTACAATGATAGCCCTTCATGGGCAGCAAAGACCTTGACAGAACAAGCCCTCGACAAAACAAGCCCTCAGGACAGATTCTCAGTGACTAGATGAGCCCTCAGCACAGATCCCTATGGCTAGCTGTGAATGTGGCATGCCAGGACCAGCTGGGAGCTAACCATTAAGAGTGACTTTTTAATGAAAATAAACTCTCTAGGACTTACCCAAAATGCATTGACAATAGTGAGATGATCACTTCTAGAGTTTTGGGAGAGCATTTTTCTCCTGTGGTCCGCGATCTTCTCCTTTCCCTGAGATAAACGCATCCATCAGTGAAACAATCCCTCATTAGAGAACGCCCTCTGGGGCTGCACATGTGTTTATGTGAAAGCGTGTGTTTGTATTTACCAATGGTATGAAGAAGGGATCTTTAAAGCTAAGGCTGGCCGCAATGGTAAGCACAGGATCCAAACAGCCAAGAAGAGCCCCAAACAGAATCATTTTTCCTATGTGAGGCTCTACAGGCATACGGGCTAGATGAAATCCTAATGGAGTCAGCTCTTCACTCCTGTCCAGGGCGTTCTACAAGATACAGCAGAGAAATGGTTGGCTTATCAAACAAATACATTCAAAGTATTGTGCTACTGCTAAGCTCTTTGATTTGATTCATTACACTTCTTAATTATACAGCTTTCTGGAACACTTTATTCTCATTGGTCAATCACAGCATTTCACTGCCAATTAATTTTGTACCGTATTTTCCGCACTATAAGGCGCACCCGATTATAAGGCGCACCTTCAATGAATGACCTATTTTAGAACATTTTTCATATATAGGGCGCACCGGATTATAAGGCGCATGAGATACTGCAGTCAAATTTACGGTACTAGACCGGGACGATTTTAATCCTTGTGAAAAAGTAGCCTATAAAAACGTGAATTAATCCCAATAACATGAATCTTTGTCATTGCCTTGACCATTTTCTGACACCAGGACAAAATAGAGATGCTTTTAAATAATTTGATAAAAGAAAGCTTTTTAATAATTCAATAAAAGAATGCCAACTTTAACGGTAAAATCACTTAGCACAGACTGTATCACTATTTTCAAATTTACAAAGACTATTTACAAATAAAACCCAAGAAAAAACCTATTTACAAATAAAAACAAAGAAAAAAAAAATATTTACAAATAAAAAACAAGAATCTATATAGGCCATTGCTTGTCGCACTTAAACTATTATTCAACACACACACAGCGTGCAGTTGCAAAGAAGAATAGATGCGTGACATTATATTCATAATAAGAAAACAATTTATTTCCTTGCAGCGAGAGTGTCAGGCAACGCGTTATACTCGCAGTATCAGCCGCGGCTGACTGGATGAGCGTCCAGCAAGCGTCTGTAAGCTGCCAGTCTGATCACGGCCATTTGACTGGTTATATTGGGATAACAGTCCCCAAAACATCAATCATACACAAGAATAAAGGCATGACATTATATTCATAATAAGAAAACAATTTATTTCCTTGTAGCGAGAGTGTCAGGCAACGCGTTATACTCGCAGTATCAGCCGCGGCTGACTGGATGAGCGTCGAGCAAGCGTCTGTAAGCTGCCAGTCGGATCACGGCCATTTGACTGGTTATATTGGGATAACAGTCCTCAAAACAGCAATCATACTAAAGAACATAATCATATCAACAGATGCATAATAAATGAGCTAGAAAGGGAGGAACACAAAACACAAAAACTGTCAAAAATCAATGGTTTCTGAAACTTGCCAAAGGCAGACTGCCAAACAACTAGCCAGCCACTGGCAGGTCACGTGACATGCCAGGCTCAGACTGGCAGCTGCCAGCCAGCTGAAGATTGAACCCCCACTCGGCTATTCTCTACTTGAATTAATTAATTTCTTCTGCTATTCTGCTGAACACAAAGGAAGATATTTTGAAGAATGTTGTTAACCAAACAGTTGATGGACCCCTTTGACTTTAATAGTATTTTTTTTCTACTATGGAAGTCAATAGGGTCCATCAACTGTCTGATTACCAACATTCTTCAAAATATCTTCCTTTGTGTTCAGCAGAAGAGCAGAAGAAAGAAATTCATACAGGTCTGAAATAGAGATGTGATGGTGATAATATTCTCCCACCGGTTAATCGACTTGTGACAACACCGGTAATACCGGTTTCATTGCGGGGGGGGGGGGGGGGGGGGCGATGTAATTTTTCTTTTACATCGCTTATAAAAAGCTGGTGTGGCAGTGTGCACTTCACTTTCACTTTTAAATTAGCGTCAATTCATCCTTCGCAGGGAGTTTGATTGACATGCGATCTGACCGCACCAGTCACATAACTGAAAACTATGAAAGCCGTGTGACCGGCCAACCGGTAAAAAAAAAAAGAAAAAAAAAAAAATACATTAAAGAAATTATTCCCTTTGATTTTCTGTTTCATTAATAAAGTTTGACTACTCGCAGCAGTCTCGGATGCGCTTAGAGCTCATGTGAATTGCACGTATAAAATGAAGTTAACGAACAACCTCGATCCATCAGGAAACGCCATAGGTCGCTGAATTTCACTGCGCTTCATGAAGAGTTTTTCTTTTGCGTGAAGAAGCCGTTCGCCGGAGATGTGTTAAAAGATATTCGGCTACCGGTATAATAATCCTCCTGGTGCCAGGTCTGAGTGAGTAATTTACTCTCTTACCTTTGTTCTTTGATTAACATTAATAACACTTTAAGACCAGCCACTGCTGACAGAGACGCGATCTGAAACGCGTCCCATTTTCTCACAAATGTCTACGTTCATTTAAGACTTTATTTAAATCATTTAAGACTGCTCTTATGAGGACACTCAACAAAACGGACATTTTGGCATAATTTGTGTGTGTTATGGTTTGTTCAAGTCCGAAAGAGAACTCGATACTGACACGCGTCTTTTCTGTGGGTCGTGTGTGTGTGTGTGTAATAGGCAGGACTTACAGCGCGGTCTCTTTAGTCTTAAAAGCTAAAGACTTTTAATTTAATTAAAATTAAATTAATAAGAGCGTGATCATACAACACTAGTCAACGGGTGACAGGAAAAAACGAATACTGCGTAATTGCGTTAAATATTTTTAACGCTTTAAACTTTTCTCTTTTTTTTTGCGGTGCCGCGGAGGGCAAGTGATTAAACCGGTGTCGCGACTGAACACCGTAACACTGGTAACACAGACTATCGTAGCAAGCCTAGTTTGAAACAACTTGATGAATGATGAAAGAATTAAAAATTTTAAGTGAACTAGGCTATTCCTTTAATTTATCTGGTAAGTAGCCATGTAGCTGCTTTGCGTTGGGTTCCTGATTACACAGTTTATTTTGTGATAATAACAGACAGTAATTTATCCCTTACTTATTTACTAATCCAAACCTCCTTTTCTTTTCTATCAATTATTCCTCACCGTCATCTTTTTATCCTCTTACCAGGTCCACCAGGTGTGTGATGGCCAGCTCTATCGCTTTGTCTGATGGGGGATCCAAAGTTTTCCGCAGGAAACACGCAATGGGGCCCAACTTCAGTATCTGAGAGAAAAATAGAGAGAGAGATAGAGAGATCACACTATTACAAAATGTACAAAGTACTCAATCTAAGCACATACAATTTAAGTAATATAAGATGAAGGCTTTGTGTGTGTAAATGAGTGTGAATGTTCATCAGGGCCCTGCTGTACCACTGAGCAGCAGACAGAACTGGTACTGGGCAGCCATATGGAGATGAAAATGAGCAGTAATTGACACAGCTAAAAGGCCTAGTTACACAATTACACTGCCCCTCAGATACAATGACAGTGATTAATGTCCCTTTTAATCCATTAGTTTGTTTGTGTGCTCACTTATTATAGTCACCGGAGACTACTTGTGAAACCTCTGCCTTCAGGCCCCATTAGAGCCAAACAGATACAAGGGAAAGAGTGTAATGCGTGTGTGTGTGTAATGAAGAGTGTGTGTGTGTTGGGGAGCAAGAATGAGTCACTGGTGGAAATGTTCAGTCCAATTTCCTAAAACCACAGCAGTGAGAAGCTCTCTCTCTCTCTCTCTCTCTCTGAGGATTGCCAACCAGCAAGTTTCTAAGCATTTTAAGAGCATACACACCTACTGCTGACACCAAAGCTGTGTAGTGTGGCACATAAAGCTAGATCGATGGATACTTTATTGATCCCTAAGGGGAAATTCAACCATGCATTTTAGTGAAATATAGTATGCACATAAACACACAGACGGAGCCTTTGACTGGATACCTTTACTTGCAAGCAAAGCTCTTCAAGTGGAGTGCGTTGGATCTCAGGTAACTGGTAGTTATCCAGGAGGCTGGCCCTCAGTCCATTATACAGGTGATAACATTTCCCTGGAGACACTCTGCCCAGACACAAACACACACAAAAACAAAAGGGACACAGGAAATACAATGTCACACTGCATCCATTAGGAAAGTCTCTTTGATGAATGCAAATTGCTACTGGCTAAATGTAATCGAGAGTTCAATCATACGCAATCATGCGTAAAGGTAGTGCACAAAAACATTTAAGCCTATTTTTTATTAATTTAGCAGACCAAACGAAGATATATTATATATTAAAATTATATTGCATTAGTTTAAACTAAAAACCTGTATTTTGTTATACTCATTTAACATTTTATTTGATTTGAATATTGAACTGAATTCTGTAATTCTCAGGGAGGGGGAGGGAGAAAAAGATAAGTAACAAAAGATTTTTTCACATTTTCTGCATTTCGGCCAGTCTAAGCTGCAATGTGGCTCAGACTTTACGCCGATAGTCAACGGTTTGTCTATGCAAGACTAGTCAAAGCTTGCTGATGTGAAAGTCAATTTGCTTTCCCATGAATAATGCAGTGCTATGGAGTTACTTTGGCAACGGGGCAGTGCGTGTGAATGTGTGGATGTGCACAGGTACAATAAGAGGGGGTATACATTTGGGCATTTGTGAACAAGTATGAAATTGAAATGGTGTGTCAGAGCCTGTGCTGAGCAGTAGGGCAGATTCATGTAGATGCAAAGCTAATGACTGACTTATTATCTCTCTTTCATGCATACAAACACACACACCGCAGCACCTGAGACGCACTCTCTGCTCCTCACCACGGCACGTCTCAGGTGCTGCGGTTATCACTCCGCCCAAGTAGCAGTGCTTCGCCTTCAGAGAATATAGTTCCCAGTATTTATACGGTTAAAATATGTCTGTGTCTCATGTGACTTTGTTTTTTGTACACTCTGTGACTATACAAATCACAACATGTAAATAGGAAAATGTTTACGTTATTTTGTCACTTATTTGGATTAGTATGCTAGCTGCAACCATTTACATCCAGTCTTTGTGCTAAGCTAGGCTAGCGGTGGGTGTGTCAAACAGACTTATAGCACGCAAGGAGATGAAAAAGGTATGTATGAACTTATCTAACTCTGGGGGATAAGGTGAATAGGCTAAAGTCCCAAAAAGTCGGAGTGTTCCTTTAACATATTCCCAATTACAGTAGATTTACAGTCCATTTAGAGTAAATAGACACAAAGAGAGAGAACCAAACAGGATTTACGTATATGTGTGGAATGTGGCCTTCAACTTCAAGAAAAGCCAACAGGAAGATTTTTTTTGTTCACTTTCCTATCAAATGACTGAGATAACAAAAGACTGAGATAACAATGAAGCTATTCAAGCCCACATCTTTCCTCTCTGTGTGCACTTAAAAAAAAAACCTTGAGAGAAGCTCTGTCTCGACACTGAGATGGAGGACAGACAGACCTTTCATGAACAAAAATACTAGTCATAAATGAAAAGCCCTGAGGATGTGAAAAGATGAGAGAAGTGCTATTAGATTCAGATTAATCAGGGTTTGAAATTCTATCATTATTTACTCACTCTCATGTTAAAAACCTATATGACATTATTTCCGCAGTGGAAAAAAAAAAAAGATATGTAAAATAAAAGAACGTTATGCAGGTTTGGAATGACATGGACTCTCATTTTTGGGTGAACTATCCCTTTAATGTTAATCAAATAACAAAAGAAAAAAGAGGAAAAAAAAATCATTCACTGCTCTTGACTTTTGTAGCTTTTAATACGAAACAATGAAGATTTAATTTATAGAGTGAAAACTGTATATTTATCTATTATGTTTTTTTTATAAATTTGACAAATGTATTCAATTTCTGTAGTATTTTTTTTTTATTTCTGATAAATAGACCTACCTGAAAAACACTAAGCACCGTTTCATTTATATCTTTGTTTCATTATATTAATTTGTCCTTTCGCTGAATTAGTTTTTGCTGTAATATCAAAGTTGGTGTTGAGAATTATAAAATTTTAAAGTTTTTAAAGTCTAACATTTTGATATTGCAACAACCTTATTTAAAGCAAAAACAACTATATTGTGATATATAGTTATTGTGAAATAAAATGACTCATATTGTGATATAATAATTGGGTCATATCTCCCACCCCCCTGCAAATAGCACAAGTCATATGGATAACATTTTTATGGTTTTAAATTTTTTTTAAAGGAGTCATAACCTGTAATTTTCACTTTTCCACGAGAATCAATGTATGTTATGATTGCCTAACGATTATACATTGGCCGGGAAGCCGATATTCAAAAGTGAAGCGTTTGTTTACCCCAGGGTTCGTAAACCAGCACACGTGCACGCGCACTCAAATACGAGATTTTAATTTCTCCCCCGACTTGACGTCAACACGGGGCAGGATATACCATATATGGACACCGCAGACATATGCTGCAGGAAGCCCGCCCTGCCCCTCTCCTCTCCCCTCCCCCTCATATTCAGTCAAGAAAGATGCAGAAAATGTAGTGCACACGTGAGTTGCTCTGTGGTTGACTGCCAGAATCAACATTCAAATGTGTTTTCTCTACCAAAAACTGACCAAACTACCAGGGACCAGTGGATGAAATTCATTTTTAATGACGCTGTTCCAACAACCCTATCAACTGGCTCAACGTTAGGTGTCTGCGCTAAACATTTTACACACCCTCAGTGATAAACAGACAAGAAAATGATACAGCTATTATTTCATATAATTGTATATTATATAACAATGACAACATATCATTGTATTGATTTTTTTATATAATAGATAAGGATAGATAAATAAAACAAACAGTCAAGTAATAATAAACATAAAGAAAAACATCACGTTACATGTCTGTAGATGAAAAATATTGAATGTCTAAAAAACCACAACGTGAAACAAGGCAAAAACAACACATTATAGCAAACGTTGATCTCTATAACCACTGTAAGCTGATAAAAAAAGTAGACTACATCTCCGTTAATGTAATCTACATTAAATAAAAAGTAAACTTATGTGGGAGAAAATAGCAACAAACGTTTTAGCTCGTTACTGATGTTAATGTATGTCTCAGTCAAAATGATTGTCTTTACCATTCAGAGACATGTTGATGTAGACGTCCTTCCATTGACTCTATATCTTCCGTTTCCAGCTCTGGTTCAGAGTCTGGCTCAAACATATATGGTTGAATTCCGTAGGTCGCGGCCAGGTCGGGTTCATTCACATCTTGCGCCATGATGTCATTTTGGAATGATATGCTGAAGTTACCTGCGGTGTCAAGCCCCCTCCTTCCTGCCACCAATCAACGCGCCCCTCATTTGCATTATTAAAATGACCGTCCACGACAACCAAAATATCGCATCAGATCTCGCGAGACAATAATGCATTCAGAAATAAGGGTCAGAGGAGCTCTGTTTATTTTTTTTCCACTTTTCTTTTTTAGAAGGGCCTGAAAGACTATAATAGAGCGTGGGTATCCAAGGCAATACTAGGTTATGACTCCTTTAAATAGTTTTGGTCACTATGAACTGTCAAAAACTGCTGTATCGATTATAATCGGCATTTTCTATAAAAGAAAGTACTACAGAATTAAGCAATATGTGGATAAATTAATTTCTTTAAGTTTTATAAAAATTCACTGTGGAATAGAAGCTAAAATCCAAAAATAGTGTGATACGAATTTTTTGTACAAAATCAATTATTTACCACAGCATTCCGGTGATACAAGCATACACTGCATATCCTCCTGAGAGGTTTGACATTCTTCCACGGGGTGCAATTATTCCGACTGAAATTGGTTTTGATACTTGTGAATGGATTGAGGAAGAGCTGCTGATATATGGAGGGAATAACATATAAAGGAGAATAAATAAGGGGAGGGAGAGAGAGGGAGAAAGATCTGTACCTGCCAGCACGGCCCTTCCTCTGTTTGGCGTTGGCTAAGCTCACCCACTCCGCTGTCATGGTCCTGATATTGTTCTGGGTGTCAAAATGAGTTTCCTTAATCTTCCCTCCATCGATCACATACACAACATCATCTATCGTAATACTGAAAGAGACAGAGTTTGAAAGAGAAATATCACAAGGTATTCATGATGACAAGGAAGTAGAGGAAAAAATGTCCTCTAAAGTCAAAATTGGCAAAATTTATAGTCTTAATAAATGTCCCTGGTCATGATTCATTAGGTCACATCATTCTAAGAGGGGAAAAAAACCTTTCCTGACGCCTGAAACTTTTCTGCCTTTAATAAAGGCCAACAATATCATGTGAGGGTCTCCTCCCCTCCCCCAAGAATCCAAACAAATGCCAATGGATAAAATCAAGTCCAGTCTCACGTTATTTCTCACTGAATATTCCGTTTCACTAAGAAATGTGTCTTTTACAGTCACCATGAAATCAAAATTGTAATTTCTGATTTTTTTTAATGGAATACTGCAGTGTTTATTATAAATGTATAATAAACACTGCAGTATTCCATTAAAAAAATTATTTGTTTTATCATTTTATCATTATCATTTATGTTTAAATCATTTATAATTTATCCATGCACATAAGTATTATTATTTTTATTCATGTGTAATCGTTAATCATTAAACATTAATGTCGCCTTCCCCTTGGAATGACATCTCTTCTCTAATGACGATCAATTCTCGATGGACAAAATCAACTCTGCCCTACACTTGGTCTCATTCGAGAAACTGTTACTTGGATTACTGTTACTGCACTTGGATATACGTCACAACAGAGAAGAAAAGAAGAACGTAACTTCCGTTTAATGACAACTTTAAAGTGCACAGCTCTGTGTCAATGTGGAGGAGACTGTCAAGGAAACATTGAAGAATAGGTTCAACAACAACAAAACAATCAAACAAACGTGTTTTTGAAATAGATTTTTTTTTAGTAAATCTTTGTGTAAAACACATTACTTGAGTAAACACATTCTTTTTAAGCTATGTTGCTAAGGTCATATTGAATATTCTATTCTTTACAGTCACTGTATTGTCAAGGTTAATGAACAAAAGGATTAAGCTTTTTAAACTCTACACAACAGTTGGGTCATCTATAGCATTTCCGTGACCGTGGAGAGCGAAGGTTTGTTTCTCACTGGATTTGTCATCTGTAAAGGTTAAAGAAAAAATTTAGCCAGGGTGCCCCTCACAAAAATGTGGGGAAATTTTGTGAGAGCCCTATATCCAAAATGGCTGCCGTCAGCCAAGCTGGAAATTAACTTTTTAATGGTTTTGCCCACAGTGCTGCATAATACATGGTTTCTGAGACTATTTGGGTCAAGAAATTCATAAATTATGTAGATTTATTGATTTGACCTATTTTTGACCTTCAAATTCAAGATGGCCACCAATTTTTGGCTCTTTAAGGCGAGACACTACAGGTGAAGGGTAAAATGTTTAACTTACAGATATCACCATGAAACTTTACCAGTTGATTACTCAGATGAATAGGAGAAAAAAATGTATTGTGAGTTTTCTGTAATTTTATGTTTAAATATGCTAATCAGGCTATATCTAATTAAATATCCACTAATTTGCATATATTTTGAAGTGACGAATCTGAATCTGACCATTGAAAAAAACAAGGTTAAAAATTATTTTAGCATTTTGTTGATATATTCAATGAAAAGACATCACCTGAGGGGATTATGAATATCTCTTTTTGTTACCCTGTAAATCAGAAAATACTGCCAATAGCCTTACATTGATTTCCGCCCTATTTTTAGGCATAAAATTTCATATAAATCAGGCCAAGAATGATATATCAACAAATCCCTCTGGACAAACCTTCACAATATAGTTAGGAATAAGACTGTACAGTTTGGTGTATGTAGGTGCTACAGAAGTGGAATATCGTCACTAGGAGTGTGAGAAAAAACGTCTCGGTTACGTATGTAACGTTACGCTGAGTGACGTTACGCTGAGTGACGACGAATGGTGTTTCGCTTAGAAAGCCTATCGACTTCGAGTATTAAAAAACGAGCCAATGGCAAAGAAATGCTATGGGTCTGCGGGATTTGCATGGCGCAACTCCGCCCCACCTCATGGGTATAAAAGGAGGACGCCGGCAACATGCAGATATGTTTCTTCGCTGAGGAGCCAAGACTGAACTCAGGCGATCCCCGCGGTACAGCGGAAGTGGCAGGAAGACGTAACGTCTCCGTTCCCTACTCAGGGAACGAGGGTTACATACGTAACCGAGACGTTCCCTTTCGTTGTCACTCCAAGTTACGTCGAGTGACGACGAATGGGGTTCCAGTCTAATCAAGCCAGCTTCACAGCTGTCTTCCAGTGCCCTGCGTAAGTCTGAGCTCCCTGTTGTGAGAGTGGCACGGACGAAGGACTCGTACCTAACACAGGAATACCAAGGTACACTGGGAAGCATACTGTATCTCAGAGGAAATATGCAAATAGTGCCTGCCCAAAGGGTGGACTTATAGAATACACATATGACCGGGAAGGGGGTAGCATACGGAGAACACTGGGGTGTCCAGCCTGAAGGGTGGAATATTTCAACCCCAGGGGGGCAAGGTGGCTTGCCAAGGGAAAGACACGTGCTCAGAGAGGCTTACAGTGGAAATACTCATGTGGGGGTCGCTCAGAGGGGGGACCATGTGTAGCCGGCGCCGTCTGCACTTCGCCGACTACTGCGTTGTGTTCTGGTGCACTGATGACAAGACGCTGACGTTCCTCAAGACACTTTATTCTGCACACTGCACAATTCCAAAGAGAGCAAAAGATCAGGATTCTATCCATCAGAATTAGCCTCTCTCAGTCAAATAGACTGCAGACTCAGCATTTGATCACATTCAAAAATCAGAAAATAAAATACAGAAAAATAATTATAGAAAATAAACATATTGCATGTCATTTCTGTTATTGACTAAGGGCTTTTAGCTTTTATAACATGAAATAAACCATCCTCTTTCCAATAATACATACAGTAATATGCACAAAGCAAAATGTACATACTTTACATCTAGGCTGTTCAGTGCCATTGAACATCAATCAACACAAGAAAACTTTAAATGAACCAGTTAGGAACACATTAGGCCTATACTCTAAACCTGGTATTGGAAGTACATACCTGCACAATTCCAAAGAGAGCAAAAGATCAGGATTCTATCCATCAGAATCAGCCTAACATAAGAAAAAGGACAACTGAAACATGTAGGCTACATCAAAAGAGGATAGAATTGTGAGCGCTAGCATACAGCAAAACAAAATACGAGGTTAGCTATGTTAGCAATTTATTATGCTCTCAAAACAGAAAAGTTCTCAACTCATCTCAAATAAATGTGCACTCATCATAAAACACACGTACAAATTACCATGTGCACTAAAACTAAAGTTACAACAGGTAAACGTCAAGTTTACATTGCACTGATGTAAATACGTACCTCTCTGTCAAATAGACTGCAGACTGAGAAAAGAACGCGAAAATTCAGTATAAAGACACCACTCTAGCCTCTATCCAATAGACTATCCAATAATCTATCCAATAACAGACAAAGAGCTGGTCCGAGGTCCTCAAACACTGCGTTCTGTCTACATAGGCGCGGAGAGCGCGTACTGGACAGAGCAGTGCCAGGACTGGGTCTGCCTCCTCCAGGCAGCGCTTGCAGGTTCACCACCTGGTCCCGGAAAGGAGTGGTGGGAACCTTGGGCACATATCCAGGCCGGGGGTCTCAGGATCACGTGAGAGTAGGCCGGCCCGAACTCCAGGCATGCTTCGTCAATGGAGAATGCGTGCGGGTCCCCTACCCTCTTGATGGAAGCCAGTGCAACCAGTAGAGCTGTCTTCATTGACAGGAAGTTAAGCTCCACTGATTGCAGAGGCTCAAAGGGAGCACTCTGCAGGGCAGTTAGAACCACTGAGAGGTCCCAAGAGGGAACGAGGAGGGCAAGGAGGATTTAAGTCTCCTCACTCCTCTCAGGAACCTGACGATCAGGTCGTGCTTTCCCAAGGACTTACTTTCGACTGCGTCATGATGTGCGGCGATAGCGGCAACATACACTTTCAGGGTGGAGGGAGACAGCCTTCGCTCCAACCCATCTTGCAGGAAGGAAAGCACGACACTAATCGAGCATCTCCGGGGGTCTTCTCGGCGAGAAGAGCACCAGTTGACGAAGAGGATCCACTACCTACCTTCGAACCTGGACACGCAGATCGGATAACATTCCAATCAGAAGCGCGTTTAGACTTGTCTTTTCAATGTGTATGTGGACAACATCCGGATACAGGTCGCATGTTAATGCCAAGTGTAAACGCAGCCTCTGACGGCAGGTCGGAGTAACTGGTACTCGGAGCGTCAATTTAAGGCTAATGGCAGTATTTTCTGATTTACAGGGTAACAAAAAGAAATATTCATAATCCCCTCAGGTGATGTCTTATATCAACAAAATGCTAAAATAATTTTGAACCTTGTTTTTTTCAATGGTCAGATTCGTCACTTCAAAATATATGCAAATTAGTGCATATTTAATTAGATATAGTCTGATTAGCATATTTAAACAAAATTACAGAAAACTTGCAATAAATTTTTTTCTCCTATTCATGTGAGTAATCAACTGGTAAAGTTTCATGGTGATATCTGTAAGTTAAATTTTTACCCTATTCACCTGTAGTGTCTCGCCTTAAAGAGCCAAAAATTGGCGGCCATCTTGAATTTGAAGGTCAAAAATAGGTCAAATCAATAAATCTACATAATTTATTAGGGATGTCCCGATCAGGTTTTTTTGCCCTCGAGTCCGAGTCCGAGTCATTTGATTTTGAGTATCTACCGATACCGAGTCCCGATCCGATACTTATTTAATACATAAAAAAGAATAAAGATGAGCGAAAAAAACAGATCCAGGATGTTCCTTGTTTTTTATTTAATTCACCTTATTTTAACATTCAACAACTGTTAACAAACAGAGCACTTCTGTGAGGTAGCTTGAACAATCAAGTAATAAATAACATAAATTCTTCACTTTTGGACTTCAGTGCAACAGTAAATATAGAAAAAGTCTAATATAAAAACAAATAGCACCTCA